TTACTTTAGGCTTATTATACCAACACTCACTACACTTATAAGGTTTCATGGCACACACAACCCCCTCACTAAAATTATAACGGGCAGACAATAATCAAACTAGTCTATCTGGATAAATGCATTTTGGCTTTTTTTACTCCTATTTCAAGAAATCAAGCATGACGTGACACACACACTGGCTTTTATCGAGGTTAGATTACTGGTACAGCCTACATATATCATATTGCATGTTTTTCTCTGCTAACTGTAAAGAACTGACCAAATTCAGGTGAAATCAGCCATTTTTATATAAGATACAGAAGGGGCCTCAGGAGTAAATAGTGGAATTAATTGCAACATTTATAGTCTCAAAGTAAATATTTCTTGAAATCTGTATTGTTGTTCAGCCAGAAGAAAGTTTAATGACAACTGATGAACACAAGTCCTAACATATATAGTCTAGGGTGTGATATATTTCATTAAATGAAATAATCTCTTATTTGAAAATTTTAATTACTTCTATATTTACAAGTGATGATTTTACACACTACAGGATCAGCTTATATGAACATAGGAGTCCATAAGGATATTTCAGGTTCATGAAGAAAAAAAGGTTGAAACATACTGGTCTAAAACTAATCTATGGGATGATATTAGTAATGATAAGATTTAAAAGTAGTTGCAAAATTAGTAACTGTATGAAGTGTAAAACTAATCTATAGGGTGATATTAGTAACCATAAGTTTTAAAAGTAGTTGTGATATTAGTAAATGTATGAAATCTGAAACTAGTCATTGGGTGATATAAGAAACTGTAAGACTTTAAAATGTTATAGTTTAATACTGTGGTATAGTTAGGTGAAACTGATTATTCCTAGAGCAATGAAAAAGGTCTTCTTAATATCAGGAGATCTGACAAGATATGTATTACAGAATAGTAGCAGATTTCTTTGGATACCCAAAATCATGAGATTACAATAAGGAGATTGGACTGAATATCAAAAGTAAAAAGCAAAATCTTTATTGTAATCAAACACAAACACTATGTAGGTACATGCTTAGGCAACGTACTGCCACTTTTACTGGATTGAAACTCTCTCCAAAACTTACTTACAGTATGCAAGTTCTGATTTTAATGATTACAACATTTCAATCTGTAGTATCAGTTCATCATTAAGTAAGAGTTATATTGAAATGTGACTTTTACCTATGAAAGAAAATGAGACAACATCTCTGCTTTTATACTGAGGCAGTTTCATTCCATTAAACTTCATAAACCTAATATGTATATTCTGCCTAAAGTTCCACTGAAACACCCAATACTATGTAATTATTAAAATCAGAACTAGTGATAACACTATCATTGGTGGTAATATACAACAAGAAATCACATGGGCTTCTAAAGCATGCCTCAGGAACTGGAATGCTTATTTGATCATATTCTTCCCTCCATCTGAAGTGCATCTCAGCTTTAGTGAGAGCTGATAATCTTAGAAAAGTTGGCCAGAAACTCTCAACTGTACATAGGATGAAGCCAATCTTGAACCACTAACTTAGCAGAATCCAAGGAAATTCCATCTCTTCTCCCAGTATGAATGCAAAATTCCATTTACATGTGTTTGAATGCATATTTTCCTATTTCAGTTTTTATCCACTGGAATACCATTTTCACAGTCTTAGCCACAGACTTGAACACATGTTACCACACACTAGGATGTTATCCACATAGTTCAAGTACTTCTCTCATCACAGCCATTTCAATGTAAGCTTCATCAGTTTCTTGAAAGTGGTAAGTATATTACACAGGCTGAATGACATGATGCAAAACTCATACATACCAATTCTGGTGGTGAGAATACTCTTAGGCTAGCTCTCATCATGCAGCTTGGCTTGCCAGTATCTAGATTCCATGTTTAATGTATTGAACTCTCTGGCACTTCAAATGCATCCAGATATTCATCTGTTTGTTGTAATGGAAAAGCATCAGTGCATGTAACCATGTTCACCAATTTATAATCAAAACTTCCTTATTTCTGACAATAACTACTGAAGATGACCAAATGGTCTCTCAAGACTTCTTGCTCCTCACCACTGGCTACATACCTAATGCTCCAGGGAAGCCTGCATGTGGTTATTTAATTGTACATGTATCACTTGTACCTATATGATGTTATATGATCATGGCTTGACACAATCAACCACCTGATTCTACAAATACATTAGCCTATTCAGTCAACAAGACACTGAAAGTTTGTCACTGTGTTAAGTCTAGTATGCCTCCACAATCTTCTACTGGCTATCTCAGAGTGTTGGTAACCACATGTTTGCTCTTGGATGAAGTGCATTAGCCACAACATTAACATTACTGGTAGCCTCAGTTAATTTTACTTTGCTCACACCATGCCAATAGCTCTTTCAGCAAGAATCTGGATAAATTATTGTCCATTATTTCTCAAAAACACTGGGTCTCCATTCCTCCTCAGACAGATAACTGACAGAACTAATGCATCTTCCTTTCTCAATAGGAAACAACTTATTTTATGTATGGGCTTTATAACTATGTTACATAGCACCAATGCACTAGACTTTGTCCATAATAAACCAAAGAAAACCACCTGTGTACATGGAGGTGCTGTGATTTTCTTTCCCACATACACTTGTATAGTCCACTGTTCCTGTCTTGTTTAAACTACAAGAGCTACAAGTAATCTATAGAGTGATATTACTTACTGTAAGACCTAAAAATAATCTATGGAGTGATATTTGTAACCATAAGATCTAAAAGAATCTATGGGGTGATATTTGTAACCATAAGATCTAAAAGA